CTCTAATGGGTCAGTTAATCTATGTATTTGGAATATAGCTCTGGAATGGATGATAGCTTCTTTTTTTAAACCCTTAGCCCCGTGAAATGGTAGAAAGAGAATGGAGAGGTGATGGCCCTTTAAACATATTTTGAGGTTTCAAAAAGAAAAAGAAAATGACTCTTGTCTGGTATCAATATATAAAAGATAAGCAAATTTGGAATTTTATTCCCACAGTTTGTGTCAGTAGAACTATCTCAAGGAAACTTAGACTGAAAAAATTCAGATGTATTGTAGTGTGTTCCTTTTAGGACCTCTTGACCAAAATACATACAATAGATTTTTTTAAAAGTCCGATTCCCTTGGGAAAAGAACTTTCTTTCAGTATCTTTTACCATCCATTTTTATTATAATCAAGGGGAATTTTATAGTAAATTTACTGCAGTACATGGTTTTACTTAACATCATTTTAAAGATTATTTTACGTTTATAATTCCAGCTTTCCCCCTAATTTATTTGTTGATATCTAACTTGAAAGAAATTATACTTTTCTGCTTAGGAAAAATTTGCAACAAATTTTTACATGGTATCCTTCTTAAAATTTCATTTTCTGAAAGGGATAGTCTAGAAAGATATAGCTAGCTTTTGTGTTTAGGGATTTTTAAAAAATGAGTATTGAAAATCTAGGCAAGTGTAAAAGTATGTATTGTAGGTTTCAAGGTCTTTTTTGTGTGGTATTCTGAAATACAAATGTATTAAATGTATAATCTTTTATATTTGATGTTCCCTAATTAGGTCAGCAAGCAATGTCACAAATGCTGTATTTTTTATATTTCAGTAAAAATACTGAGCTTTGCATATTTCTGTGTTGAAACTGAATAATATCTCTTTAGATTAGACATTTTTAACTTTCTATAATATATAAAATTATTTTATCCAAAGACACAGATGGTCTTTAGGAATGTTGGTATTTGTTAAAAACTGAATGTTGAGGACTTTTCTGTATATAAATTGGACATTAGATAAGATTAGATGTTCTCTGATTATGAGTAACATGCATTATTGAAGGGTTATCAAAATGTACGTTTGAAGTTAAGAATATACTTAAACTTACACGCGTCTAAATTCTTTGTAGAAAATAGTTGTGCAAGAACTGATGCGATTTTTACTCCTTACCCTGGGTTTAAAAGTCATGTAAAAGGTAAGTATCCACCATATAGTTTCATCATTGACAGAAGCTTGTTCTTAATTATAAGCAAAATGGAATAGAAATCACTTTCCTATCTAAATTTTATTTATTTAAAAAAATCTTGCCTTTCTTCCTACTTGGGTTTGTGATATGAAAAGAACATACAAAATACTATTAGGGAGAGAGAATTTATAAGTTTTGAAATGTAAATTTAATAGACTCAAAGTTTTTGAACTTAGTTTCTAGAGTTGTGAATACATATGGACCACAGACTAGATCTGAAGGAATTCAAGGGTCAGGTCATAAACCTAACAGCATGCTCCAAGATTGTGGTAATCAGGCTGTAGAAGAACGACTACAGAATATCGAGGCTCACTTGCGATTGCAAACAGGTAAGCAGAGTGCTTGGCAGTGTCCTGTAGTGTACCTTTGCAAGTGGTTAAAGAAATTCCAATTCATTTATTCACCAAATTTTCATTGAGGGCTTGTCATATACAAAACATTGTTCTGATTAGTAGAAAAATGAAGAAAGCATAGTCCCTGCTCCTAAGAAATTTACAGTTCATGTGGTTGTGTTCCTCTTCCTCCCCTTACACTTCCATCAATTTCATGACTTAACCATGACCATCTCTCATTCTTATCACACACTGTGCTAGGTACAAAGTATTAAAAGGTCTGATCCTAGTCCTTGAAGATTTTCCAGTGAAGACAAGCATATAAATAAAGACATGCCATTGGGGAAGTGACTAACATTTATTAAGTGCCAGACACTCTGAAAGTATTATACGTATATCAATTCACTTAACATTTAACTACCTTGTGAGGTGTTGGTGGTGTTACCCTTGTCAGATAAAGAAACTGAAGTTCTGGGAACTCAAGCAGCATGCCCAATGTAGTAAGTGGAAACTAGAAATCAAACCTAGAACTTAACTGGCTATAAAGCCTCAGTATCCTTCCCCATTTAGTCATCAGATCCTGTCACTTCTATCTTATAAATATCATTACGCCCAGAGGCACAAAATATGGTTCAGGGAATTTCTAAATCCAGTCTAACTGGTGTATTTGTGGATGGAGGTAGAAGATAATAAGAGAATGAGTAAACCATTGAGGATGATATGAGATTAGCATTCGAATTAATTCTCCCAGAACTAATTTAAACTGCAACTGTATACTAGGATTGACTGGTTTATTAAATCTAATAGTATCAAGTAGCTAATTTTGAGAAGTACCTGTTGAATGCCTACTATATGCAAAGCACTGTTTTAGACAGGAGGGATACTAAGATGATGTAAGCACAGTTCCATAATCTATGGAAGAAAGATTAACAGTGACAGGGGATGTTAAAGGGATTGTGAAGGAAGGATATGGTGGAGCTCAGTGAACCTCCTTGTGAAGAGATTCAGGCAGTGCTTTGTTGACCCAGGGAAGCTTGAAGTGGTTCTTGAAAGGTACAGAGGTGCAGCAGAGCTGTCAGATGAATAAGTTACTCATTTTCCTTTAGTCAAGAGCAGGAAAATCCAAGCTCCTAAAAATTAGAAGTTTTCAGGAAAAAAACACATTTCTAGAGTTTTTGTATTTAACAAGTTGATACTTTGGATGTGAATATTCTTAATTGCATGACGATTATCTAATGTATTTATTCATTCAGTACATATTGAGTATACGTGCAGTTTGTGAACTGATGCTTCCTAGGTTTGTGCAGTGCACAGGCTGCACAGCCATACCCAATGAACAGAACAAAACATTTTGCCTTCTTAGAGCTTATATTATCAGCGTGGAGAAACAGGCACTATACAAGCAAAATGTATAGAATGTCAGTGGGTTACGAGAAAAATAAGGGAGGGGATGCTGGGTAGGGGGAGGTGGTAGCTCTGGTATTTTTTAAAGAGCTGTCAGAGAAGGCCTTACTGATACAGTAACTGTTGCACCGAGACCTGAAGTTGGCAAGAGCTAGCCTTGTGAATACAGAGGTAGAGAGAACCACAAGGGCTAAAGTTTTAAGAGTACTTGGCCTAGTTGAATAACAGAAAAAAGGGATCAAATAGCTGAAATGGTATGTGGGGACAATGTCCAAATTGTATAGGACTTTGTAAACTACTGTAAAGGTTTTGGTTTTTAATGTGAGTGAGGTGTGAATGTGTTGGAAGGTTTTGAGCAGAGAACTAACACTATCTGAATTACATTTTTAAAGGATCATTGGCATCTGTGTTGTGAACAGACTTTAGGCATGCAAGGCAGAATCAGTGAGACCAATTTGGAGGTTATGATAATCCAGGGAGAGGTGGTGCTGAGGGATGGAAGAACTTGGATATAATCATAGCCTATAAATCTCAGTAACCTTAATTTTACCAATCCCCTCCCTAAAACGTTAGTTAAGAATTATGGTAAAGTTCCTTTTTATAAAAAGTTCTTCTGAGTTAAAGGAGAAAAAGTGGCATGTAAGGAGAAGTTTAAATTGAAGAAAATATGACGTATCGCAACCACTGAATTGTCAGTTGTCACTATGCATTTTTTTCCTCCTAAGTGTCAGAGTTTGTCAGAGATACAAGTTGTCCTGTATGAGAACTATTAAATATCTTATCAAATGAACTTAACATAAAACAACATGCCTAGCAACATAGGAGGCATAAATGTGGCTTGGGGAGAAGTGTGGTACAATAATATATCCCATAGTGTATAATATGAAAATGTTTGCTAAAGATTTCATTTTATTTTATTCCTGTTAATTTATTTTCTTAAGTTTAAATAGTTCCCATTCTTTTGCTTAAGTGTCTTTGCATGATATTTTAATGATAAAACTGTAAGAAGAATTATCCAATAATATCTGTTTCTTTTAATGTATTTAGGTGGTCCAGTGCCAAGAGACATTTATCAGAGAATCAAAAAACTTGAGGACAGAATCCTTGAATTGGAAGGCATCTCTCCTGAATATTTTCAATCTGTAGTAAGTGTCTTTATCATATAACAATTCACTCATAGATCTGCTGTGTGCAAAAAACTGTTTTAATAGTTCAGTGATGAATGAACATAGTTCTGAGTAAAGAATTACCTAGTTCTTTAAAGATTGAGATTTTTAATGTTGTGTTATGGACATAATTTTTTTGAAGAGTTACGTCATGGTACATTACCCAAATTCTCAAATTTAAGCCATTTTTTTTGTGGCATAATAAATGAGCAGGAATAGCCCTATTGCTCTGAACTTGCTGTCTTGTAAAACAGAGGCTTCCTCTGGGGTCTTACTCTCCGTTATCCCTCTGCCTCTCTAATCCCTCTCTCTGCAGACTTTCTGAAAGACTAGTCTTCATTTTTCTCCTTTTCCAAGAACATTAAAAAACAATCTGTGCTGAGAAGTATTGTTGTCATATTAGCATGTTTCAGACAACTGATCCTGGGCTCGTTGTGTTATTTTCCTCCGTCTTCTGGGGTGATTACATATAACACCTGCCTTTTCTGGGGCTTTGTGTGTGTTTTAAAGCAATGCCATATTCAAAAGAACTAAAGTAAAAGTGTACTAAATTTTTAATGAAATTTACTAAAACTCCTATTTCTGAAATATTATGTAAAATAACTCAATTAGCATGGATCATTATAAGTCACTGGTGAAAACAGGATTATTTTAGGAATAACAGTGATCTTTCCAAAGTTTCAGATTGGTATTAGAGTAAGGTACAAAAAAGGAATATTTCCAGATGAAGAAAGTAAGTCAGATAACCAAAGTGAGCAGTGAATTTTAAAGCTTTGTAATTTATAAAATGAAGCTGATTAAAGTACTGAGGGCTGAAGCAAGGATTAAAGAAGATAATACCAGTCAGGCATCTAGCACGCTGTGTAGTGCAAGGTAAAACCTCAGTAAACATGAGCATTTATTTAATTTCAGAAACCATTTAGAGGTAGCTGTATAAACATGGGTAAGTCATACAACTCTTCTGGCCTTCTCCTCTAATTTGAGATTTGTTGGTGGTTCCACGTAATTGCAAAGGCCTTTCCATCTTGAGGATTTTCCTTAGCCTCTTCCTAGGAAACCTCATAGAGATTGTATGCCTTTTGCTACAGTAACACACAATAAGTTTTCCCCATTCAAACTGCCTTCATTAAGAAATCCTTAGGCAGGTTATTTTTTCTAGTTCAGTTTCATATCTTGTTAATATAATTCTTGTTAACAATAGAACTCATCTTAAAAGAGTGTGTTATAGTATTACATACCTTCAGTGGATCTTGGCCCTTCAATCTTTTTTCTCTCTGATTTGCATTTTAAAAGCTTAACGTATCTCTTACTAAATTTAATTAACAAAAGAACAACCCCTTCAAATCATAATCTTATTTTGGGGGATTCTTGATACATAGGATAGAATGTTTGGTTAAAGAGGTAGAAATTTAAGGTTTACATGCTGTGGAAATTTTTGAGCTGTGACTTTTGGGATGTGACTTGTGCAAATGGTAGAAGATTCATCTGATACTGTTCTATAAGATATGAAAAGGGAGACACTAAAGAAGACAGTATTATCCTAGCTTAAATGTGAATGGATCTTGAAACAAGGACATGACAGCGAGAATAGAAAAGATTAGTGCCATTGACAGAAGGAAAGAAAAGTTGGCAAATATTGATAATTGATTGTATAGCAAGAATGAGTCCAGTCTTTGGTTGGAAAAATACTACTATCATTGGTAGAAATAAAATCTGGAGGAGGAGATATTTTGGGAGGAAATGTGGACTTTGAGTCAGCAGGATATGCCGTTAGAAGTATCAGGTAAGCTTTTGAAGAGGTAAGGTAGGACTTACACTTGATTCAGTCAGGAGAGACAATATAGACATGATAGATAGAATGGGTAAGAACATTGAGACTGTCAGAGGCCTGAGGTCTGAAGAGGCAGGAAGTGTTATAAATGTAAACAGGATTGGCCTGTATGTGTGGGGTTGTCACACTTGTAATAAAACTAGTGCTGTAAAAATTTTTTTTTCCAAATATATTAAACAACATATTTGATTAGAGGGGTCATTTCTGGATTAGTATTTGAAATTACATATCCAAGTTAATAGTGAGCTACAAGCACAAAACACTGAAATGTTTAAACAAACTGGTTTTGTCCTTAAGACCTCTGAATATGTATGGTACAGACTCAAAGGCAAAGATTTCACACCCACCCTTCCATAACAGAGGAATGTCACAGCTATAGGAGCTGCATTCCTTTCTCAGAATGGAACCAGCTCTAGAGCTGTGTGTGAGAGGAGAGTAATACACACCCTGCAGATGACATAGCACATTATTCACCACTCTTACTTTCCTCTTGCTGAGAGTACTCATAATGGCATTTGCATAATTCTACTTACATGTCTTTTCTGTAGACTCTTGAAGAATAGATTAGGTATGTAGCACAGTCTTCTAGCTTCCAAAGGTAGGAAGTAAAGGAAAATTGAACCCATTAAATTTCCTAAAGATTGAACTTTTGTTAGAAATCAATTTTATGAAAAGTTTTTAAATGAAATCTATCTAATCCAGATTCACATGTAGGTAAATCCTAAACACAGTTGGATAGAGATTATTATGCGTAACCGTGCAGCACAGCATATGAAAAGGGAAACAGAAAAACAATATAAATTATATTTGCTTCCTAAAAAAAACTAGCTTATGTAAAGTTCTTTTCATTTATGAAACAGACATAAAACTCCAAAAAAGTTAATGTATATAAAGCAGGAATTACAACAAAGATTAGTATTTGTTTAAACTTTTAATGTGGTAGTTCTAAAGATTTTTACCCTTCACATTCAACATGGAAAAATTTGAATGTAGTAATGTTTTAAAAATTTTGAGTGCATTGCTTAACAGACCATTTAAAAGATACAGTCTTTATGAGTATTTCCAGAGAATTACTTACTGATTTTTAAATTTTGACCCTGGAAAACAGTATGTATAACATTCTTCACGAGTATATTTCCATAGCACTTTGTTCATTTGATAGCATTTATCACTTACTTGTTTACGTGTCTGTTTTTCACACTATATTTTCAGCCTCTGAAGGGCAGGAACTGTCTTGTTTATCTTTGAACACAGAATGTAGTAGGCATTACATAAATATGCAAATGAATGGTTAACTACTGGATTTTTAAAGGTATGTTGACTTTGTTTGAAAGCACTGATTAGATGGAATCATAACTCTAGTCTGTAATGGTTAAGTCCTACTTCTAAAGGGAAGCATGGGGAGAAGGGAACACTGAGTTAATTTTTTTGAGAAAGAGAAACCTTGATCAGGTTTCTGTCTGGTGGCATTGTGAAAGCGAGAGTTAGAGTTTGGAGTCAAAGTTTAGAAGCATATCATTGCCCACGCCAGGGAGAAATGAAGGTCTGAAACCGGGCAGTGGGACTAGAGGGGACGAAACATTTAAGGCACTCCCCCTGTCACTCTTGACAATCCGTTACCCTTTACAGCTGATTAGAAGTAAAGTAAGGGGTTGGTCATGAAAGAGGTCTCCTTACCACTAAGTTTCCTCAGAGCATGGGTTTCTTTTAAGTCATTGACCCACTGATGTCCTATTCTGATCCTTCTCACTTTGGTTTCATAATACATTAATCTGATTGCTCAATGACATGGAAACTGGCCATATTTTGCAGATTAAGCTGTTAGGAAAACAAGGGGAAGTGTGTTTTCATCTCTGTGTAAAAAGCCACCTCTTGGGAAGGTCGGAGACTGAGTAGTGACCAAATGAAACATTAAGCCCATACCTGCCCACAGGCCCCACCACAGTATCCTGGCTCAGTTGGCAAAGGAAGGAGCATGTTTATATCGGCACTTCCATATTTAATTATTCCAACACTTACCCATTTCCCACTTACTAGAAACTACTGATAAGAGGCATACCTCAGTATTCTTTGAAAACAGCTTTAAATCTCCGTGATTGCAGATGTTCACAAGAAAATTTTACTGCCTGTGTTGACAGTTTCTTTGTCAGATGTACTAATGTACTAATATAATTTGCCATTCAAGGCCTTGTGGGTCTGTGAAACTAAGAACAAAGTCAAGCAATAATTTATTAGATCAGGGTTTAAAAAAGTGCACAGCAGTATGTTGGTGAAAATGTTATTAGCTTCAAGTAATAGAAATTTATACTCAAACTGACTTAAACAGTATGGAAATAATCTTATAACACGGGAAGTTCAACAGTAATGCAGTCTTCAGGGTAAATTGATTTATTGGGCTAAATCATGACTGTCAAAGAACTGAGCTCTTTCCCCTCTCAGCTCTACTTGGTGCTTTTTCCCCTGGCAGATGGTAAGATAGCTACCATGCTTTCTGGTGTCCTGTCCAGACGACAGCAGTGTCCGGAAGAACTGCCTCCTGGATGGCTTTCTCTTAGAAGTGAGGAAGTTTTTTCCAGAAACTCTTCCCTAATGCCCAGCTGACCTCTCCTTAATTGCTGGTCAAAATTGGGCCCTTGCCTTTGTGATCACTGGTGACCAGTGGGGCTGTACCAGGAGTCCCCCGAGTCACATAGACAGCGCCCATTATAGTTGGTCAGGGCTGTGTATGACTGTTTTCATCCTGCTGCTGGGGATTCCACATTCTGTTTCCCTCTGACTGTTGCTGCTTCACCTGTTCAATATCCTGGGATAGGAATGTTCTAAGAAAGGAAACTAAGTAGAAGATCCACAGAGCTCCTCTTACCACAATCGCTAAGCCTCAGTAGAAGGCAGAAATTAATGGCGAAAGTATAGTTGTGTATAGCCAGGGACAAGCATGTTGTTCTGACATTACCACTTATACTTTTAATACCATCTTTGGAGGGTAACTTACAAAGCAGAAAAAAGCCGGTGTCAGTTACAGATAGTGCTCAGTGAGTTTGTGGGCTTTATTTCTACCAGGGTTCTCCTTATTTTGTTCACTCTTCTATAAAGAAAAATTATTTAGATTTTCTAAGTATTGATTACTTTTTTTTTACTTTTAATCTAGAACTTTTCTGGAAAAAGAAGAAAAGTTCAACCACCTCAAGTAAGTTACTATAGTTTTATTTTTGTTTCTGAAATAGTTTAGTTTTATATCCTTCTTATTAATAAAAGTTTCTACTATGGTTGCTTTTAGGTCCTATCCTGGGTTTAGGACTGGAAAAAAAGGGCAACATAAATTAATGTGTTATTTTAAGGAATGATGCAGAAGGATCAAATAACTATTAAAATCTATCCAGATGTTAACTGTAGAAGAAAGTATCAATTACAAAATGCTGAAAAATAATAAATGTTCAATTTAAATCTCATCCGCTTTCCTTCTTCAGACACTAATTAGCATCTAAGTCAAAAAAGGTGTCTGGCAAAGTTGACTTTAGTCCACCCCTGTTCACAGTACTACTGTATTTAATTGAATCTTAAAAAATTTTGTTTATCCAATATTATCATTTCAGTATTTAATAAATTATTTTTTACAGGTTATACTCCACTTAGTTATTATAAAATATTGGTTATATTCCATGTACTGTGCAGTATATCAGTGTAGCTTATTTCATACATAGAAGCCTGTGCCTGAGGCTCCTATCTTGCACCTTCCCCCTCCCCACTGGTAGTTCGTTCTCTTTATCTATAAGTCTGTTTCTTTTTTGTTATATTCACTAGTTTTGTTTTCTTAGATTTCACATATAAGTGGTATCATACAGCAGTTGTCTTTTTCTGTCTGACTTATTCCACTTAGCATCGTACCCTCCAGGTCCATCTGTATTGTTGCAAATGGCAAAATTTCATTCCTTTATTGTGGCTTATTTTTGTATTTGTCCCAGATCTAGTGCAAAGGTATGGAGGAGGCTGGAGCATGGGGATTGTAGGAACTGAGGTGGCTGCTTTGCTGTCTGGGATTTGGACTTCCTCTGTGGCTCTTCTCTTAGTGCCCAGAGCTCAACTCTAAGCTGCAGTGTGGAGTGGACATGCTGGGGCACTCATGCTGGGAGACAAACCACTGTGTTCCTGAGTGCTCTGACAGTGGCCACCGCCTTCCCACCCCGATCATACTCTTGGCACCCTTTTCTGTTTCTGCATAGCTGAACCGAGTCTTTTCCCAGTGTTTGGTTGGCCCAGATCTCGCAGGCTGTGGTGTGGAGTGAACAAGGCTGGTGGTGTTCACCCCTTTAGATTGAGAGGTCTAGCAAGGCAGCACCTGCCAGTGCAAGGCTCTCTGCACCCTGATTATTGGGAAGCCAGCACAAGTGCTCCTGCCCATAGAGTCTAGGCTTCACCAGCGCTTCTGTCTGTCGCAGTGGATTTCCCAGCAGGCGTGGGGGCTTGCCGCCCCTGTGCAGGACCCCAGGACTGGAACTCCCAGATTAGGCTTAGCCTGCTTGCTCCCTCCCCAATGCCAGCATTCCTCCCTTGGAAATCTTCTCTTCCTTACATATCCATCCCAGGGGCACAAATCTTGACCTGATGTTTGGTTTTTCTGTCTTACCTGGTTTCGTAGAGATTTTTCTCACAGCTTTGGTTGTATAATTTGCCATTTCCAGTGAATTTTCTGTGATAGTTGTTCCACATGTATATTTTGATTGTTTGCAGAAGTGAGCTCCATATCTTTGGCAGTCTTGATCCCCTTCTATTTTTAATTGTAAAACTTTGAAATTTGAGTGTCAATTTTTTTTTTAATTAACTGCAATTAACTACTTTGGGTATCAAAAGAGAATTCCCAGTTATTTTAAGCAATTAAAATTTTTTTTTTTTTACTATTGATTATGAGAATGGGCACTTGACCCTTTCAAAGTACAAAAGGTTCAAGATAGCTTAGTCATTAGAAAATCAAAAGTAAGAAATACTTAAGCTTTGTTATTTTATGTCTTTAAATTATAGCATAGTCAACATATATGCTTCAATTTAAAAATTATTCTCACGAGAAAAAAAGTTATTTACCATGTTTTTGGATATTTTCTGTATTTATAGTATATTTAGTACTTTACCTGCATCAAAAGTCTTACTCAGCAATTTGTGTTATTGTTTACAGCAGAACTATTCACTGGCTGAACTTGATGAGAAAATTAGTGCCCTCAAACAAGCTCTGCTCAGAAAATCAAGAGAAACAGAATCCATGGCGACACG